CTTGTTTTATATCGCATGCTTCTTATCCCTATTGGGCAATCTACACGCTTCAATCGTAGTTTAGAGTTTTCCCTTGTCTTCCTTGCTTAATATGTTCCAAATTAAATAAATCTGTTTATAAAATTTTTTATTTCAACTAACGAGATTTTCCCCTTCACATCATTTTTTTGTGAAAACTAAGAAACTAGCATATCTTTTGATTAAATTGGATTTAATTATTTCATTCCCAATGCACAAGTTTTGCTTTATACATTTTTTGGAGATATAAGACTACATAAATAGTGAGTATATTTGAGGCTATCATTGGATCCTGATTAAGAGCCTAGGCAATTCTAGATTATATAGAACTGATAGTTGAATTCCCCACAATGACATGAATAGACCAAATAATATCAGCGCATCCCACGTAGCCTTGCTTCCCAAAAGGCTTTATTATCGAGGTTGGACTGCAATTTCCATTTCAATAATAGTACCAAGGAGATTAGTACTAAAGGATCTGGCTTTGCGACCCTCTTGCATCCCTGACTTTGGCAAAGGTTTATGGTTATCGGCTTTTAATTGCATTGAGGTTTTCGATTACAGTTAGGCAAAACTTCATTCCACTCTTGATAAGAAGGGCCTATCATTTCGGGAAAATTAAATTTTTAATCCATTATCATCTTATGTCGTCTAGGGTAAATACAAATTCTATATGCCACCAGGCCTATATCAGATTGGCATTATGTAGCTGTTGCTATCCTACATATTTACAAGCCGATTTTAGCTGACTATTTTAGGGATTCTAATATTTAGGCTTTCTTTACTATTATCCACCAGATCTTAATTTCCTTTATCTTCATATTTCCTATATTTGTTGTATCGGGGGTCTCTTGATCTATTTAATGTCTCAGGATAAACTGCGGACATTCCATTTTATGCTACTTTCGTAGAGCATTGTTATTTTTTGTCTGTTTTCGCTCGTTTTTGGATGTTCTTTTAATTCATTCCTTTGGGCTTTGCCCAAAAGACATTGCCGGTTTAAACATATATTCTTTTGATTACTATCAAAACACCATTCCATGTGTTGCGTCGTATTTTAAGCTTGCTTCCTAGAAGCTTAGCTTTACTTTAAGTTAAATTTCTTACCTTTAAGCCATCATAACCTGCTCTCTTACCATCAGTAATGTGACTTTTTCTTAAATTTACCTAATCGTACGCCGAAAACAGATTACCTTTAGGGATGTCAGCTGTATACCATCCTGCAACTAATTGATGCAGGCTGAGCTTTCGTTTTTTATTCGAATGACATTTACAAGGTGATAAACCAATTTCTTGGTTTTGTGATTTTATTAAGACGTCTTGCAATGTATTTGTCTACTCATTGCAAAACGACAGGCTTAGAACCGTTCTTTTTCAGGCCCATTTCCTGCGGTGTACTAAGCTAC